TCCCAAAGTACTGATGAAGTTGAACTCTAAGGATGCCTGAGGAACCTGAACCTGATTCTGCCCTAGCACAGATGTGAAAATGCTTAAATATTATATCTGTTTCCACAGGCACTGACATTTCTCCACTTGTTGCAAAAGTATTTTAGCTGTATTGAAGTATTATTCTCAATATTTAATTTTAGAAATTCCCCTCCCCTCCCCTCCCCTCCCCTCCCCTTATATAAACTGAAGCTCAGTCCAGACAAGACGGAGGTCCTGTTGGTTGGCGGATCAGGCTTCAGGGAAGGGGAATTGAACTTAGTCCTGAAAGGGGTTGCACTCCCTCTTAGGGACAAGGTCCACAGCTTGGGAGTGCTTCTCGGCCCAGAGCTTTCACTGGAAGCTCAGGTGACAGTGGTGGTGAGGAGCGCTTTCTTTCAGCTTTGGGTGATCCACCAGCTGTGCCCCAACTTGGAGAATGACTGCCTGGTGACAGTGACACACATGTTGGTGACTTCCCGACTTGACTTCTGTAACACGCTCTACGTGGGGCTGCCCTTGAAGATGGTCCGGATACTTCAATTGGTTTAAAATAGAGCTGCCAGACTGCTGACAGGGACTGGGCGTTACGTTCACATGACTCCAGTTCTCTGTCAGCTTCACTGGCTCCCCATTGAAGTCCGGGTCCAATTCAAGGTGTTGGTTATGACCTATAAAGCCTTTAACAGCTTGGGTCCTGGTTACCTGAAGGAGCGCTTATGTCCATATATGCCCGCCTGCCCCTTGAGATCAGCGGGAGAGACCCTTCTTCGGGAACACTCCGTGAAGGAAATTAGGAGGGTAAGTACTTGGAGGAGGGCTTTCTCTACGGTGGCGCCCAATCTATGGAATGCGCTCCCCAGAGAGGTCCACCTGGCGCCATTGTTATTTGTTTTTTGGCACCAGGCTAAGATCTTTTTATTCAAACGTTATTCTAATTTTTAATACTATTTATTTATTTTATTCTTTGGCGAGGGTGACTTAAATTATACTGTTTTATATTGTGTTTATTTATTTATGATTGTGAGCCTCCCCGAGCCTTCAGCGAATGGGGCAGCATAGAAGTTCTCTAAATAGATAGATAGATAGATAGATAGAGCTTGGTATCATCAACATACTGATGATTCCACAGCCCACACCTCCTAATGACTTCTCCCAGCAGTTTCATGTAGATGTTAATTAGCAAGGGGGACAAAATGGACCCCTGCGGAACTCCATGGCATAACTGCCATGGTGCAGAGCCATAGTCCCCCAGCACCACCTTCTGGAATCGGCCATTGAGATAGGAGTGGAACCACTGCAAAGCAGTGCCTCCAACTCCCAATCCCGCTAGCCTATCCGGAAGGATACCATAGTCAATGGTATTGAAAGCAGCTGAGAGGTCTAGGAGGACCAACAGGGATGCACTCCCCCTGTCTCTCTCCCTGCACAGGTCATCATACAGGGCGATCAAGGCAGATTCAGTACCATACCCACGTCTGAAGCTGAACTGAAATGGGTCCAGATAATCAGTTTCATCCAGGAGTGCTTGGAGTTGTCCCGCCACCATCCGCTCTAACACCTTGCCCAAAAACGGGATGTTGGCCACCGGTCTATAGTTGGTGGCCATCTCTGATCCAGGGATGCCTTCTTTAGGACTGGCTGGACTACCGCCTCCTTTAAAGGGGCAGGTACCCGGCCGTCCCTTAGAGAGGCATTGACAACCTCCAGGATCCAGGTCCTTATCCCATCCTTGGCTTTCTTAAGTAGCCAAGATGGGCAAGGGTCCAGTAAGCAGGTGGTAGGATGTACTTGTCCAAGCACATTGTCCGCATCATCAGGCCGCAACAACTGGGACTCATCCATCAATTTTGGACCAGACAGCAACATTGGCACCTCCCCAGAAGGTTCTGAGTCACTGGTGGAGTCCAGCTCGTGACGAATCTGAGTGATTTTCTCTTTGAAATGCTTGGCAAAGTCATCACAGCACTTGCAGGGCAGAGAAACAGGGCAGCCGCACGGAACTCGCCGGCTGGCAAGATGACGTTGGCCAGCAGCAGCATTGCCAGTGTCGGGCCCAGCATTGGGCTCAGCGTCCTCTGGCCCCAATGGGTCCAGCGATGGCCACTGACCGTGGCATCAGCTGTTCCCTGAGGTCTGGCGGAGCACCTTGTAGTCTTTTGCAGCTTTGGCTTGGGGCCGTCCTTGTTGGCGCAGCAGGGATTGTCAGAGGGAAGGGAAAGTGGCCCAGTTCCGTCTCCAGCCTCACCGGGTCCGGCGAGATAAGTTGGCGGCTCGACCCCGCACTCCGTCCCCAATCTGGCTTTGCTCTCACCCAGTGCCGGTGGGGCGGAGAAGCAGGGCAGCTGCAAGGAACTCGCCGGCTGGCAAGATGGCGTCAGCCGGCAGCAGCGTCACCGTCATCAGGCTCAGCATTGGGCTCAGCATCCTCCAGCCCCAGTTGGTCCAGCGATGGACATGCACCACGGCATCAGCTGTCCCCCGAGTTCCGGCGGAGCACCTCGCGGTCTTTCGTGGCCTTGGCTCGGGGCCGTCCTAGGCGGCACAGTGGCAGCAGAGATGGGCAGAGGGAAGAGGAAGGGGCCCAGTTCCGTATTCTGGATAGACAGAATCCTATGTGAGAATGATCTGATAATGAAGCAGCTACGAAATACACATTTTTTCCAACCTAGTCATTTTGTGATATATGCTTAGAGGTGACTAAGTTGCATTCAAAGAACTGGATCACCCATAGAAATGAAAGCAA